AAATTCTGGCAGAAATCAGAATTAGATACAAACTTGTGTCTTCGCCTGAAGTGTTACAAGATATGTACATGCGTGTTGTGTTTGAGACTGGGAACTTGTCCAGTCACTGCAGGTAACAGACAGTGGAAACCCATACTTTGTTTCCAGGTCTCTCAGAGGCTTATCGGGTGCTGCTCAGTGGATTTTCATCATAATATTCTCCTGTCGTGGATAGGATCATGTTGTATTTAACTCTGTTTTCCATTATTAGATAATACGATTCTGTCCTTCTGATGCTCTTTTTTTAAAGTATAAATAATACTTTGTATAATCATCCAGTTTAATGTGGGTAAAATGGCAAATAAGTAAAAACTTTATACACACTGTGTTCCATATTAAAAAAAAATGTAACAAAAATGTGTTGTCTCGGACTGTCTTCTTTTTTAATAGCTATTTTGTCTAGTCATTTAGTTACACAGACATATTTTACTATGAAAATGTCATGGTGACCTGAAAGCAAAGTTTAGTTGTATTATGAGAAGAATAATATTCTAAAAATTAGAAGATCTAATTTAAACTGGAGAGCATTTACAAACTCAACACTGATACTACTACGTTTATATTAGCTATTTTCCTTCAAACATTTTTTTTTTTTTTGAGGATAGAAAATAGTTTCCAAGCATTCAAATGTTTACAACATACATTGTTGATTATGGGGAAAAAAAGTAGGAAAAAAAGCAGTACAACAGTTAGGATATAGTAGGACACCATTACATAATGGTGACATTTAGGGTATTACATTTGTATATACATTTAGGGTATTACATTAGTCTGCATTTTAGGATAAGTGCACTTCAAGTTTTATGGTATCTAAAACTTCAAGAGTAGTGTGATGAGAAGGTGGGGCTGTATAGAGTTGTCAGTCATAGCGGTTCAATAAGATAGTGATGGTGGAAGGATCGCTGATGGATGTGTTGTCAGGGTCATTTCATTTTAAGATAAGTCACTTGAAAGCATGAGGCTTTGTCCACCTCCTCAGTTGCAAACCAACTTTATTGCCCCATCTATAGAATTTATTTTGGGTGAATAATCTACTGGTTTGGTCTTTTCTCACAGGACAGTAAGGCAACAGCAGGAACCACTGAGGAGGGAGAGGGGAGAAAAAGAGTGTTATCAACAAGAACAGGGTTGATTCTAGAGAATGTGGCATGTGCTATAGAATAGCAGGTTCACAGTGCTCTGTGGTGTTTGAGAGACTCAACATTTCAACTAAGGAGGTTTGAGTCAGTAGGTGCTTGATGCATAAGCTGCAGGACTGTGGTTGGGGTGGTCTTGAAAAGGATGAAGAGTGACGTTAAAGTCACCATTTACAATTAGAGTAGAACAGGAAAACATTGATTTTGGGGAAATAAATAGTACAAAGGTAACACCTGCAATCTTTAAGTCTATAAATGCATATCTGCTGTCTGGGTACATTTTTGTGTGCTGTAATGTGTAGGGTAGATTTTTACTGAAAATGATTGTGACTACTCTCAATTTTTGTAGGAAGTTGCAATGATTTTTCCAGTCAATCATCTTTTTAGTGTAGAGTTGTCAGTATCTTTCCAGTGTGTCTCTTGAAAAATAAATCTGGATTTAAGCTTCTGATATGTAGCACTCCATCTGTGTGGTTGACCAATGTGTTTTGGATTCTCAGCTTTGCCCATTTGTGCTTTTGCAGAAGAGCTTGGGCAGTTTATCTGGAAATATCTGTCTGCCACTGCTACTTCTATTTTATTTAATAACATTGAATCTACCTACACTACCAGGTTGATTTACTATAACTGGAGAGTGCAAAATCTAGTGAACCCGTGCATGGTAGCCATTCAGCTTCTAACTTCAGCTTATTCAATACAGCTTTGACAAAAAAACCTGATTGATTTCTATGCCGAGATGCATCAGATTTGCACTCCCCAGTTTTAGTAAATCTACCCCATAATGTTATTGATCATTAGCACCTATGTGCGATATTTAATATATCAAGCTTTGGGTTGTATGCATTTAAAGACCTTATTTTTTTTAACTAGGAAGTGGTCTATTACAAGGACATATAACTATCTTATTGTATTGCTTCATTTTTTGCATAAGGAATGTTTAAAATGATAAAATACAGAGACATGTATCAAGAAACTCAGTGACAAAATTAAAGGCCTCTCACGCCTCATGTTTACCAAGGTACATGCAACAGTTTTTTTGTGTATCTGCAACTCATGCACCTGTAGTTCTGGGCAACAATTCAGAAAGTTTTGCAAAGTTCTGAGACAGATTTAAGTGCATTTCTAGGCAAAAAGTTAGGTTTTAATATAACTTTAAGACTTTTATTCAATACTGTATATGTACAGACAACACTACCTGTACAGAAGGCAGTTTTGCTTATTAAAGCATTTTAAGCAAAATATATTTTTAACAAGTACTGTTTATTGAAAGCAATACTGTATATTGGCTGCAATTTCGAAATTCTCATGAAATTTCTAGTTACCTGGCTGTAATTTGGATTCGTTGGTTTCAATATTTTATACATTAGCTATATGGAAAGTGATTCAGTGACCGTAGAGAAAACAAAGTACTGCTGTCAAAGGCAGTCAAGCATCTAACATTAATAGAGAGAGGACAGCAATGGCAGTCTATATATATTTCAACAATTGTTTACTCCCTTTACTCAAAGCGGAGTTCCACTCGACCTATAAAAAAAAAAAGAAAAATTTAGCAGCTACAAAAACTGTAGCTGCTGACTTTTAAAAAACAGCCACTTACCTGTCCCTCAGTCCCGTGGTGTGTCCCCTGCAGCTCGTTTCATCGGCCGTCCTGGATTCCAGGAGGCCGGCATCTTCAGTGGGCACCCAGCTGTGATAGCTTGCGGCTTCACAGCCACATAATATACTCACATAAGATAAATGTAATTTGTGCATATCGGAATAGGTACCCAGTGTGCATGCTCATAATGTGAAGATGTCAGACTGCTTTCCCCACCCAACACATTTCGCTAGAAATAATTTCTTCAGGGGGATGAAGATGGAGAGGGTGATACAAAAGAAGATTAACACTTTGGAAATTGACACATATTGCATGGCGTGTTGGGCATTGATTTAATACACATTTAAGATTTTTTGTAAGATGGATATTATGATTATTATTATTATTATTTAAAGTGATTATAATTTAGATGTTTTCCATTGTTCACATCTTTTTTAAATACTCTTACCAGAGCAGTGCAGTATTACCATAGTGACACTGTACTACTGCAGAGGAAGGTGCTCAGGATTTTTTTTTTGTGATTGCTTATTACAATGGTGAACACTATAATTAGTAATTGGTAAAATACTGTGTACAATTTCAAAAAACATTGTGTACTAGTGTGATGTTGTAATTGGTCTGTCACATGGTACAGGGTTGTTGTGATTGGCCCCAGTACCATGCGATCGCTGTGACCAATCACAGTGGCCTGGTACAATGACTGGTGGTCAGCTGTGTCTGATGCTGCTTCCATCCAGCTATTTATGTTCTATGGCTGGACATGAAGCTATTAAAATGCCTGTCTTTCCTTTTAAATAGACCGTAGGCATGGTCACATTAATGGACTGTGCTTCACATTGTGTGAAATGAAGAGAATGCATGTGGTTTGAAATATGTGATGTGACATGTATAACGTCCTTGTGCCATTCCTTTATGATTTATTAATTTGCACTATTCAGTGCTATTACCCAGTACATACTGTATAACAAACAATGTTAAATCTCTTCCCAAAAATCAATACATTTCTTGCTTAACAGTGCATAATACACATTTAATGTTTTGGCATCAGGGTACCCCCTTACCTACAAACATACACTTTACATATATATATGTGTATATATATATATATATATATATATATATATATATATATATATATATATATATATATATAAATCATATTGTAATATTATATAAAGGCCATTTTTATGCTGTAATGTCACATACCCAGTTTATTATACCCATTATTGATTTTGAGACAACTTACACATGGGAGCCAAATTAGGAATCCTGGCAGCATGCTGAGATCTCCCAGACACAGAGACAGCTGAGCTGGCACAAGAGTTTTGAAACATGAGTGCTGGGTGCACTGTGCCCTGAGACTCCCAACATCTCGAACAGCATAGTACAGACTGAACAGTTTATACAGTGACTTATATTGTATATGGTAAAGGGATTTTCTCTTTTTGTATGTTATCAGCAAGTTATCTTTTTCATTTCTTAGGATGGAATTATACTTTTGAAAATCCTCACTCATATAGTATACACACTTATACTATAATGCCAAAAGTATTGAGACGTCTGCCTTTACACGAACATGAACTTTAATGGCATCCCAATCTCAGTCTGTAGGGTTCAGTATTGAGATGGCCCACCCTTTGCAGCTATAACAGCTTCAACTATTCTTGGAAGGCTGTCCACAAGGTTTAGGAGTGTGTTATGGGAATATTTGATCATTTTTCCAGAAGCGCATTTGTGAGGTCAGGCACTGATGTTGGGCAAGAAGGCCTGGTTCACAATCTCCACTCTAATTCATCCCAAAGGTGTTCTATTGAGCACTATTGTATTCCGTTGAGGTCAGGACTCTGTGCAAGCCAGTCAGGTTCCTCCACCCCAAACTCGTTCATCCATGTATTTTTGGACCTTGCTTTGTGCACTGGTGCTCAGTCATGTTGGAACAGGAAGGGGCTATCACTAAATTGTCCCCACAAAGTTGGGAACATGAAATTGTCCAAAATGTCTAGGTATGCTGATGCCCTAAGAGTTCCCTTCACTGGAACTAAGGGGTCAAGCCCAACCCCCAAAAAACAACCCCACACCATAATTCCCCTTCCACCAAACATAACACTTGGCACAATGCAATCAGGCAAGTACCGTTATCCTGGCAACTGCCAATCCCAGATATGTCCATCGGATTGCCAGACAGAGAAGTGTGATTCGTAACTTCAGAGAACATGTCTCCACTGCTCTAGAATCCAGTGACGGCATGCTTTACACCACTGCATCCAAGGCTTTGCATTGCACTTGGTGATTATGTAAGGCTTGGATGCAGCTGCTCGGCCATTGAAACCCATTCCATGAACCTTTATATGCACTGTTGTTGTGCTAATCTGAAGGCCATACAAAGTTTGGAGGTCTTTAGCTATTGACTCTGCAGATAGTTGGCGACTTCTGCGCACTGTGTGCTTTAACATGCGCTGACCCCGCTCTGTCATTTTACATGGCCTACCACTTGGTGGCTGAGTTGCTGTTGTTTCCAGTTGTTTCCCCTTTTTATAATACTACTAACAGTTGACCGTGGAATATTTAGTAAGGAAATTTTATGGATGAACTTATTGCACAGGTGGCTACCTATCACGGTACCACGCTTGAATCCACTGAGCTCCTGAGAGTGACCTATTCTTTCACAAATGTTTGTAGAAGCAGTCTGCATGCCTTGGTGCTTGATTTTATACACCTGTAGCCATGGAGGTGATTGGAACACCTGAATCCAATGATTTGGAGGGGTGTCCCAATACTTTTGCCAAAATGTGCACATAATGGATTGAGATGCACAGCAATGGCTTCCACAAAAGTATTCCATTAATATTGAAAAAAATATATAAATCAGTTACACAGAACTTTAAAAACCACATACATCTATTAACATAAAGTGGCATCAAAACTGACAACAAAAATGCAAATGTAGTGGCTGCATTAGTTTTCTTTTTTTTATGAGAACACATTTCCAGTGGTTCATAGGGTGTCACCACTCTGGATGGAGGAGCAACGAAGACACTTTTGGATAGCAGCATTGTCAATTGGGGAGAGGGAACAAGCAGATGGATATAGACAGACTTGACTAAATTAAAGCTGAACTCCAATAACACCTTTTTTAAGTAGCTATTGCAACAGGTTTTCCATAAATGAATAGATCCTGACCATTGTAAGCACTCCTACCAGTCTGGTTAAATGGTTGGTCTCAACCTTTTAACTGCCAACTATTGCTGGACATCGTGGAAAAAAAACAGACTTATAGGCAGGATCAACCAGTGGAAATAAGGGGAAAAAAACAGAATAAAGGAAAATTAATGCAGCCACCACTTCTAAAAATTGGTAAGCTGCAATAAAATTTTTTTTTTTAGTTTTTGGGTCTAATACCACTTTAAGTCTTATAAGTATATAACTGTTTTACTTTGTGTTGTGTCACTTGCAGTGAGTTCTAACCTAGGCCACGTTTTGTCAGTACAGACCTCCAATTGCCACTACAACTCCCTTCCAATATAAGATATAAAGAAAAGCTGGTAGGAGAGCTCTCTCTCTGTCCTGGGGTATGGAAGCTAACCTGAGTAAAGTTACTGGAATTTTTTTTTTTCGTGAGCTGGCTAGGTCTAGACCACTAATAAACACTGAGATACTTTAGTATGTTTAGTAAGTGACTGGCCAGCTGGAATTTTATTTAATGTTTTGTTTATTTTACTACCTACAACATTTTATATTAGAAATGGTTGTGTGTCAGTTTTATATTCAAATATTATTTATTGAAAGGTTTTTGAACATACAGAAAAGAATAAACAGGGTAAATGAGGATATCAAGTTCACTTAGGAAAGCATAGTACACACAAACATAGATATGCGTGAAGGATCCCCACCGATAGGCCGGGGATTTTTTAGAATCCAGGTGTTACATGAGAGGTATGCTCATTGTCGAGTGAACTTTCTCGAGGTAACTAGGTTTAATTAAAGAAGAGATATGAATTGGAATAGGGGGGAAGAAACAGGAGGGGGCGGCACGAAAGAATACTCGTTTTTTATATATAAGATCGGGTCGAAGTAGTAATCAGTGTGTCAGTTTTAAAAGTACCCACTATCTGCTTGTGCCTCCTCCATAAGGCCCCTTTCACACAAGTGGGCTCTGCCAGCAGATCTGCCTACTTAGCAGGGATCTGTCCACTCAGCAGACACAGCTTGCTTTCCTTTATGGGTGGTCAAATGTAAACGGACCACCTGACCATTTTCATCCGACTGTCATCTGCTCTGCTAGAAGGATGGGGAACGGATCCCCATGTGTCTGCTTTTAGCAGATCTGAGCAGATGCAGGCAGGTGTAAAGAGACACATGTCTGTTTACATCCGCCGATCCATAAAGGGCAATGGATGGCCCGATCAGGTCCGCCTGGAAAATGGACAAGTGGACCCGATCGGTGCTCCCGTGTGAAAAGGGCCTATGTAATGCCTTTACCCCAGAAAAGGTGATCTTACAAACGTGTATGGTTACAAAGTTTTTAACAAAGCGTAAAAAAAAAAACATTTTTTAAAATATGGTACAAACCACAAAAAAAGGACAACCATTCATTTCTGAACATAATGAAATTGGTGTCATTTTTCAATATAACTTTAAAGAGTTTGTAAAGCCAACATCTCATATTCCTGATATGTGCCTGCTGTACCATGTACTTGTGTTAAAATGTATCCTGTTTTCTTTGTATTGCTTCCTGGTGTTCTTGACAGTCCCTCTGCTTTCCTATTAAAAACAAACTGACCACACCAGGCAGGAGAACACACCATGGTCAGTTCTCTAGATGTGCTGGGAACTCAGGGGTTTATTTGCTAAAGCTGGAGAGTGCAAAATCAGGCTCACTTCTGCATAGAAACCAATCAGCTTCCAGTTTTTATTGCCAAAGCTTAATTGAACAAGCTGAGGTTAGAAGCTGATTGGCTACAATGCACAGTTGCACCAGATTCTAAATGCTCCATAGTGCTCCATTTTTAGTAAATCTACCTCACAGTCTTCTCTCCTCCAATGATCAGACTTGTCCTGACACACGCCCTGTACAGACTTTCACTGGGAAGATCAGTGTTCTGCTGTTTCTACTCCCCCAGCTCTTATGCAGCTGAGAACAGATAGAATGTGATCACAAAAAGGGAAAAAAGTGTGTATAGTGTTTTTTTTTTTTTATATCTATACACAAATGTTTCCCTTTCATTCCTATTTTAAACTGAATTGTTTGTTTTAGAAGGTGAGAGCTTGCTTATGCTTTAAATTCCTGCTAATAGAGCTTCTCCTGTAAAATAATGATCCAAACTATATTTATATATTGTCTTTAAAACAATTTAAGTGAATTGTTATATTTTAGCAGAACATGCAGACATTAAAATAATGTGCATGGAGTTCTTTTAGTGGTTGTCACCACATGGTGAGCAAATACTGCCATGCCAACTTACCATTAGCACAAAGGGGAAAATAATAGAAAGTGTCTGAGACAAGTTTTGTCTCTTCTATCTCAGTTAGTGCTGTTGGTGAGAGCAACCAGTCAGCTTCAGCTTCTGCAGTATCTTTCATTTAAACTTTTTTTGCAATCTGGCATTTATTCTTGTCCTTTACACTGTAAGCGCTGTGTTGCTAGATTCACTTCTAAGTTGTTGGCAGCCAAGTGTTCTGCTCTGTTGTCTTCTGACCTGGGTCTTTAAAACCAAGCTCACTTTGGATAAAATATGTATTCTGTTATTGTGTTCTCCCTGTGTTCGGTGAGATTTCTCTAAATGCTTGATTTCCTTCACACTGTTTTACTGCTTGCCGACTGCCCTATAGCAGAAATACTGCTACAGGGAGGCACGGGTGCACAAAATCACGTATATATATGTGATTTTGCATTTCCGGGTATGGGGCGCACGAGCCCTGCCCATGCCGCCATTCGCGGCCACGGCTGACAATCACCGGGTCCCAGCCAGTGATTACTCGGCAGCGCCCGGTGATTTCCGAGGCTCTCCAACAGGGAGGAGAACTATTGGTAAACAAAACAGTTCTCCTCCCTGTCAGCTCGTGCACACTGTTTTGGAAGCAGTGTGATTACATTGAAGCACAAGGACAAAGCACAGTGTAAAACAGCACACAGTTAACCCTTTGATCGCCCCTCATGTTAACCCCTTCCTGCCCAGTGCCATTAGTACAGTGCCAGTTTTTTGTTTTTTTTTTTATCACTGAGCAGTGTATTGGTGTCACTGGGGATGTTGCAGTACCGCTATAAGTCGCTGATCGCCGTCATTACTAGAAAAAAAAAAAAAAAAAAATATATATATAAAAAAGAGCCCAGTATATATACTGCCATTTGTAAACGCTATAACTTTTACGTAAACCAATTAATTTATTATTAGTACAATTGTCTCCCACTATAATGTAAAGCACTGAGCAAACCGTTGTCGCTATATAAATCCTGTATTATAATAATAATAATAATGTCAGTGCTTTTTTTTTAGTACTGATCACTGTATTGGTGTCACTGGGGATGTCAGTGACACCAAGTCACTTCCCCCCCAGTGTCAGAATGCCCGCCGCCGTCCCGCTATAAGTTGCTGATCACCGCCATTACTAGTAAAAAAAAAAATTCCAGTATCTATACCACTGTTTGTAATCGCTATAGCTTTCACGCAAACCAATTAATTTACACATATATATGTATTTATTTATATTTGTGTATTAAATCTCTTCCTTGTCCCTGTATAGCAGAGTAATGCAGTATTTTTTGCTAATAAAAAGCACTGAACTGTACAAATGACACTGGGCAGGAAGGGGTAACTTCTGGGGCAATCAAAGGATTAACTGTGTTGTCTGTGTGTGCTTTACTGTGCAAGTATGGTACCTTGTATTGCTCTGCTATACAGGGACAGGGAAGAGATTTGTATTGTTTACATACAGACCTCTCCCTTGTCAGTATTCCTCGGCAATCGCTGGGTGCCGGCGGGGAATTTCCAGCTGGGAACCGGTGATCGACAGCTGAAGCCGCCAATGGCGGCGCAGGTAGGGTGGTGCGCATGCCCCCTACCTGGAAATACAAAATAACATACAGTAGTAGTTCTGGAACTGGGAAGCTTTTAGTAGGAGATTGAAGAAAGCTATCCTTTATTGTACACTGTGGGGTTTATTTACTAAAGCTGGAAAGTGAAAAATCAGGCGCACTTCTGCACAGAAACCAATGAGCTGCCAGGTTTTATTGCCAAAGCTCAGTTGAACAAGCTGAGGTTAGAAGCTGGTTGCACAGCTGCACCAGATTCTGAGTGAACCAGCTTTAGTAAATCTACCCCCGTATTTCTCCAAGATTGTAGCTTAAAAGAATGACCATTCATTGCACAGGCAGATAGAGCATTACATTTCTTCAGGAAGTGTTCATGAATTTGCCTTTTACAGTTGCTGAAATTCAAACAAATATATTATATTTAGATTTGGCACTGAAAGCCGCACGCTGAAAACCAACTTACAGAATAAAGTGTCCTCACTCAGCAAGGGGACGGCAGCTTTAATCACACCGCAATGCTTGCAGTAGGTAATACATTTATTGCTTTAGGTTGTCCACTTATATGTACTGACAGCTGGACATGAAAAACAAATGATCATGACTATGCCAGATGAATGATGTCATTTCCCTAAATAACGTTGGCTTGCAAGAGTTAAGTTCAT